CAATCCACTCACCTCAGCCTCCCAAAGCGCGGGATTACAGGCTGAGCCACCGAGCCCGACTTTTTTTTAAACTTTGAACAAGCTTTATTACATTAGAGTTGTCATATAATTGGATATTTCTCTACTTTGTACACAGTTATTCTTACTCCATATAGAAAGGCTGCTTCTGAACTTCTCATTTGGTGGTGGCAAGCATTAAAATCCTGATTTGACAGAATAGTAGGAAAAATGCTTCAGTGATTTAATTGAAAGCAGTACATTGGTACATGGCTCTTGCACCCAATATCAGGAATGTGCAATTGTCTTTTTATAAAAATACAAAATAAAGTATCTGTAGGCATGGGCAATGATAGAGAGGTAAATCATTATATATTGCCAACTGAAACTAGTAACTGGTGATTATAGTAATACTCTTAATCACCTAGCCCTTTCTTCAGTCTTTTTTTCAACAGATGTCTCTGAAGTTATTGGGGAGGACACTGTCCTGAGCTTCCTGTCACAGTTCATTTAGGATGGTAAAGCACTATTTTAGGAGTTAGAACATGCCACCACCCATTTCACTTCCTATCCCACCCATTCCCTCCAATTCCAGGGTCCTTCTCTTAGGGAATTTCTGTGCCCACAACTTCTGCTATAGTTAACAAAGAGGCCATGCTAGCAGCATCCAATAAAGCCAGTCTTACAAATTTTGTTGGGTCAGTGATTCCTTTGACCCAAAAGGAATTCACAAAACCACATTCACAAAACCTCCAGTCATACTATAACCACCAACTTCTGAGAAACTGCATAATTTTCTCAACTAGCAAAGATCCTTCAACACCTACACTCTTGGCAATAGTCATTGAAGGAATTTTGAATATTCTTTTAGCACTTTTTTTTGCCAATTTTTTTTTATCTTCATTAGCTGGAGCTAAATGACTCCACGGCTGGAATGTACTTAAACAGGACACAGCTCTGACCTACAACAATGTCTTCTTCCACAGCTGCTCTTATAGTATTTAGGGTGTTTGTAGCACTGCCTTACTTCTCATTCCCTTCGACATCACTTGTCCCACCAACCTTCTGCACACCCACTCTGAGAGTTTTCCCAGATGTTCAGTTTCTCCTTCTCATATTTACTAGTTGTGGCATTTAACTGCTCAATGATTCCTTGAATACGTTTTTCAATTTTAACCTTGTCACTTTTTACTTTCAAGAGCGTAGGCATCATTTGGGTCACAATGAGCTCTCCAACTTTTTCTACATCATGAGGCTGAACATCTTCAAGATTTAGGGACTTCTCCAAACACTGCACCACCAGTGGCAATAGCCATATCTTTAAACTGGTTATTTCCATTGTCCCCAAAACCTGAAGCTTTGACTGCTACAACCTGAAGACCAACCTTTAACCTATTTCAAAATAAGTGTACTTAGAACTTCTCCATCAACATCTTCAGCGATTATGGCCAAGGCTTATGGTGAACACTGACAATTTCAAGAGCAGATACAATGGACTGAACACTAGAAGTTTTTCTTAGCTCAATAGAACATAGGCATCCTGGAATTCACATTTCTGACCTTTTAGTGTATCAATAAGGTATGGAGAAATATAGCCTTGATCAAACTTAATTTCGAAGTCATTATTCAGT